GTGTGTGTGTGTGTGTCTGTGTGTGTGTGTGTGTGTGTGTCAGCTCAGAAGACAGCTCTGATCGTTTACGCCCATCAGAGTCCGGCTTCGTTCAACGCGGCGGCTCGAGACGTGGCGCTGCAGGAGCTGAAGCTGCAGGGATACGAGGTCGTCGTGTCTGACCTGTATGCCATGAACTTCAAAGCCAGTGCCACGCGGGATGACATCATCGGTGACCCCCCCACACGGGGAACACACACACACACACACATTCTTGCTTGTTTCATCATCAGTGCTTTACAGTTTTTTTTCATCTTTTTATTTTTAAATCAGAGCAGAGTGCAGGAGCTCATCATGTTTGTACATTTAACCTTTCATGACTTCAGATGCTGCGAGACAGAGATGACTGCAGGCGTCTCTCTGAGCTCACGTCGCATCTGTCAGTCAGTTTTTGGCCTTTTTTGTGCTTCGTCTGCGTTCAGCTGACATATTTATTCTCTGTTGTTTTGTGTCTTTGGGCACGTTTTGAGCCGAGCTTCATCTTTCTGATTGTCAGCAAATCCTGGGAAAACACCAACTCAAGCTTTAACGCTGCTCTCTGTGTGTCTCTCAGTTTGTGGTCCATCACCTCACCTTCAAATCTGTGTAAATATTTAAAGTGAAGGAAACATACCTTGGTCTGATTCGCAGGCTAATCATTTCTTTGTCTGCTGTAGTCTGCTCTTTAATGCTGTAGTGCTCAGACTGGGCATGCTCTGCAGCTCCACATGGTGACACATCTTCTGTGTGCAGTGGACACCAAAGAGGAAGCTGAAACTTTAAGACACGTCTCCCGGTGAAAAACAGCCCCTGTGCGCCCTGAACTCTCATCAGAACTTTTAATGATTGGACTCATTGCCATGTGACTCTTGCTAACCTCGCCTTCATCACCTCATCAAACACTTTGAAACTACCAAACAAACGGCTCTGCTGCCTCAGCTTTGCACTCAGACCTTAGATGCTGACCTGAAGGGATGTTTCAGGGTTTCTTCAGTTTTCTCAGGACTATGTGAGATTTGCCTTGTGAGATCTCCCCTCACAAGCATCACACTTGTTAATAAATTATGGCCTTTAATGGGTATCAGTGAAATAACTCTCAAAGGTTTGTTTTATATAGAAAAGGTGCCTCTGGGTTGAAAACACCCAATTAAAGTGAACCGATAAAACCTCCCAGTGAGATTCTGACTGAGCGTGTTGTGTTCAGGTGATGTGAGGAACTCTGAGCATTTCCAGTACGGAGAAGAGACCCTGCACGCCGGGATGGAGGGCCGTCTCAGCGAAGACATCGTAGCTGAGCAGCGCAAAGTAACAGAGGCCGAGCTCATCATCTTCCAGGTCAGAGGTCACTAAAAGCTGCAGTTATTGAGTGTCACAACTTCCCATTTCATGATGAGTAACCTCTCCATCGTGCCCACAAACACGAGTGAGCCCACATCCTGGATTATCCTGAGGATACAGAGATCGGTTCCATTTTTAATGGTTTGTAATGTTCAGCTTCTGTGTTCTAAATTCAACAAGCTCCTTAAATCGCCCTGCTCATCGGGAATGTTGTTGTTCTTCTGAAAGATTATTCCTGAGGCGGATTCATGAAAGGTCAGAATATTTAAAGTGAAGCAGAACACAGACTAATAA